TATGTATAAGGCACAAACTTGCCATGGCACGCAGGCACAGACTTCACAACATCAGAAGTCAGAGGTGAGGGCAGAAGGATGGCAGAATGATGCTTTGCCATCTTCCTGTGCAGGAGGGTGCAGCCTCCATTGAAGATGCAGGAATGGCCGGCTTGGAGGGGAAGCAAGAGCCCGAGCTGCCTCACCCCATGCTGGAGACAGGCTGGTAGATGTCTTTGTTGGGAAGGAGACGGTTCACTGGCTGAGGACCAGCTGTAAACATGGGACCACAAAAGACCACCGTGGTGGCCAGCTGGCGAGCCAGTCTTGGATGAGTCACTTTGGCGCCCGTGGATTTGCATAGTTTTCTTCAGTGGGGTTGGGGGGGTGAGTGTATGAGGGTGCATGCTCTTCCTCTCCCCACACTTTTCCACCTTTCTCCACTCTTTTTGAATAGAAAAGAGTATGAAATCTAATGAACTGGGGACTTCAGCAAGATCTGGGACAGAACTTCTAGCACTGGGTGATGAGGGGAAAGAGGTTATTGATAAGAGCATGAAATAGGCTAAGCTCCACCACCAGCTGATTGTGGCTTCATTCTGAACTTCAGTTCTCTGATCTGTAAAGTGGAGAGAGTAAACTTACACCTCACAGGATTATTCTGAAAGAAGTGAAAATATTTTACAGATAGTAATGCACTACTCAGTTCCAGAGAGTGTTCTGTGGAACACCTGTACTTCAGGATTTTAATAAGGGTTAGGTGGAAAGAGGCTGTCAAACAAGGAACTGCTGAGTAACAATGAATTAAACAGATGGTTCTTAACTAAAAACTATGCTTTTCTGAGGGGAATAGTGTATACAGGATTCCCCAAATGGACCTCTTTCACAGAGGGAGTATATGTGGAAGCACTAGACTGTAAGGATAATAGCTGACATTTATTGAGAGGTACTGTACACCAGGCACTGTTCCAAGCCCCTTTACTCATAGTGTCTCATTTAATCCTTGCCATACCCCTGAGAGAACACTATTATCATCTCCATTTACAGATAAAGAAACTTGGCACAGCCCTGACTGGTATGGCTCAGTGGGTTGGGTGTCATCCTGCAAACCAAAAGAAAGGTCACCGCTTTGATTCCCAGTCAGGGCATATGCCTGGGTTGTGGGTCAGGTCCCCAGTTAGGGGCATGTGAGAGGCATTCGATCGATGTTTCTCTCCCTCTTTTTCTCCCTCCCTTTCCTTCTCTCTAAAAATAAATCTTTTTGTTGTTTTTTAAAGAGCCCTGGCTGGTGTCGCTCAGTGGATTGAATGCTGGCCTACAAAGAACCAAAGGGTCGCTGGTTCAATTCCCAGTCAGAGCACATGCCTGGGTTGCAGGCCAGGTCCCCATTGGGGGCCACATGAGAGGCAACCACTCATTGATGTTTCTCTCCCTCCCTTTCTCTCTAAAAATAAATAAATAAAATCTTAAAAAAAGAAAAGGAGAGAGGAAGGAACAAACAAATTCATGAACAAACCAACTTGGCACAGAGAAAGTAGCTAAGATACCAAAGATTACACGGTCAGTAAATTCAGAATTGGGATCCAAACACGGCTGATCCTGCCCCAAAGCTCACTTATTTAACAGCCACACTCCACTGTCTCCACTAAATATGGTAACCATTGGCTGACATTATTATTATTGTTCCAAAAACAAGGTAATATCAAAAGCTTTTTTATGAATTACGTATTCACTTGTTCAACAAATATTTGTCAAGCACATATTTATGGCTAGACACCATTGTGGGCACTGAGGATACAACTGTGGAGAAGGTAGTCACACTTCCTGTCCTCATTGAGCGTTTTGCCAAGTGGAGAGCACAGTCAAGTAAATAGGTGATTGCAATAGAATGTAATGAATGTAAAAAGGAGAAAACTGTATATGAACAATGATTAAAAAATAATAATAAAAAAAAGAAAAGAAATACCTATGATCTTAAGAACAAAAAAAAAAAAAAGAAGGTAATGAATGCTGTAATCAGAGATGCCTAAGGTACTGGGTTGCTCTTAGGAGCAATAACTACCTCAGACTTGGGAGGAATCACTGGAAGTGATTTCTAATCCGAGGCCTAAAAATAAATTGGAGTTAGCCGACTGAAGACAAGGAAGAGGGGTAGATGCTGCAGGCAGTGGACTAGTATTTGCAGAAATTCAGAGGCAAAAGAGAGCATTAGAAAGGAGATGATAAGAGACGAGACCCCAGAGGCGAGCAGGGGCCCTCCTATGATTTCTTAATAGCTGGTCTATGATGTTGGTACTCTGGTGACATTTGTCTCTGAACTGAATGGCCCCAGCTGTGTTTCTTGACTTCATCAGCTTTTTATGGTAAGCACCCTATATATGACTCTATAACTGCACTTGTGAAACATAACTTATTCAGTGGTCTGATTCTTGCATTAGACTCCCTTACTCATTAGTGTATCTCCAGCAGCTACCACCAAGCACTGGTTCTCATTAAATGTTGTTTGTTGAATGAATGATTTTTCCTTGTAAAATGGATTACACCCTTACTGCTTTCTTGAGCCAACTATCACTTTTCCTCAGATTCATCATTATATCCAGTAGTTAATGTCCTATGTGGCCATTCAGTGGTACCCTTAGGGGCTTTTGAGGTGCAGTATTCTGTGAGTTCCTTTTTAGCTTTTTATTGTTCTGTTCTTTTCCCTCCCTGCCTAGCTGGCACTTGATTGTAATCAATCTGCTTGATTATGAAGCCTCCTCCCCAGCCTTCTTGTTTTCTTCTCCTAATCTGCAGTAGGTTGGAAACAAGATCACTTACAGTGATAAGACCCAGACTAAGAGTAATCTCTGAGTTGGGCCTTAAAGGGCTCTCTTATGGGAAAAATGCAGATAACTTTGCACATGTGACTTATATGTTAGCTACTCAGGGGCCTTTTTCCTGTTCTCCCTACTCCAGGAAAGGTCAGATAATACTTCAGGTGTGGAGAGAAGGAGGTTATCAATCTGGAGAGCTTCTGGTGCCAAATTGTACTCCACCAACTTTATTTTGGCCAAACATTTGAAATGCTTCCACCTAAGCTAGTTTATCTGGGTGCTAGCTATAAAGCCTCAGGCCATTCCCTATTAAAGGAAGTTCTGCAGAAAGTATGACTACACCTTCACCTTGAGTAGGCAAAAAAAAAAAGAATAAGAGCCAATGCTGGGACCAGACATCTTTCTAGGCTCTGAGCTCCTTTCTCTGGGATCCAATTTGCTTATTTGCAAAATAAGGGTAACAGCATGATGTGCTGGAAAGAAAGATTAAGGACTCAGGTTAGCCCTGGGTTCGAATCCTCACTCAACCACTTATGGGTGAGGGGTAGGTTTACAGTTGTAAGTAAGCAAAACACAACGTTAATTTGTGTATTATTTATTAAATATTGTTTACTTGTATTACAATTGTAAACCTACTTTTGCCCACCCCTGTTTTAGCTGGGTGACCTCTATGCTTCAGTTTCCTTGTCTGTGAAATAAGAGTGATAACCCCTACTATTACAAGGTAGTTACAAGAAGTACATAAATTGATTGTGTGGAGTGACCAGGCCAGGTACAGAGTAGAAAAAGGTCAGCAAATGAGGTCTGTTAGTATTAGGAGGCATGACAGTCCTCTGGCTTTTTGAACTTTAAATAGGAATTCTAGTTTTGCCAAATGGGAAAATGCATGGACGCTGTTCCAAGACCATGTAACTTGGAAAAGAATGGTTTAGGAATTGTCTGGTGCGTTTGACTATCTAGGCAAGGTTACCTCGAGTGAAATACACACCCTTACCCAGTGGTGAGAGGAGCCTACTCTTTGCAGGCCCAGTGTTGTGGGCCAGGGGAATAGGGGATTCAGGTAGATAGGACCCGAGTTCCACCCACAGTGAACTCAGTTCAGGAGGAAACATAATAGTTACTCTGATAATTGAGGCAGAAAGAAACCCCATCACCTAAGCAGCATAACTGTTATAAGAGGTTTCAGTTTCCAAGGGAGGACCCCAGAGGTGGGGTAACCTTCCAATTTATTGTCCAGACTGGGACTGTCGGGGACAATAGGCGTAAACCAGGTTCTGCTTGGATATGTGTGGTCACCCAACCTGTAAGTTCCTATAAAAGCAATAGAACTGGTCTTAGGTTTTTATGTGACGCTGGAGAGGGAGAGTTGTGAATACTAGTGCTAGAGTGAGCCTGGGGGTTTTGGTTCTTTGACCATGTGAAATGCTGTTTGTCTTTGCTTTAAGAACATGTTCACAGTGCATTTTTAAGGGTTTAAAAAAAGCATATTACAAAATTGCAATATAGTGAATTTTTGTAGGATATGTGTGCATATATATGAGGATATATACCAACATATTAAGTGCAGTTTCTCATGTTGCTGAAATACTGATTCCTTCTTTGTATTTTTCTGTAGTTTCAAATTTTTAATGGCTTTTATAAATTAAAAAGTTCTTTACAAAGTAGTATTAAATACTCACTAGACTGTAAACATCTTCAGAGCAGAGGGAAATGTTACTGTTCGGCAAAGAACAGCCTCTGTCTCTCTCACCCCACCATTCCCTTCACCTGGATGGCTCCTCTTCACCCTTCAAGACTCTGGGCTTCTGGGATCTTCTCTCCATGCACTAATTGAGCTCAGCTCCTCTCTGGCTTTTTATATCATCCTGTTATACTTCTAACAGTATTTATCTCAAATAATACTGTAAATATGTATTTGTTGTCTATCTCCTTCAAATTAGGTCAGAGACCACATCTGATTCACTTCTGTGTCCCCATATGAATCCTGATACATAATAGATGTCAGTAAATGTTTGTGGAACTAACTTGGCTCTGGTTTATCTTGTCTTGCCCGACACAGATCGCCAGGCACATAATGGATGACATTATATGTTTCGTAAGTAGGTAGATGAGTGAGTGGGTTAATTAAAATGCCAAGAGAAAGAAAGTGAGATTGGTGGATCAGGGCACTTGTTGCTAATAGAAGGGTTTGTGTTACTGTCCCCCTAGTCCTGGTCACCCGAGAAGATGACTTCAACAACCGGCTGAACAACCGAGCCAGCTTCAAGGGCTGCACAGCCCTGCACTATGCTGTCCTTGCTGACGACTACCAAACTGCCAAGGAGCTAATTGATGGAGGTGAGAGTATGGGTGAATGGGGCAGGGGTTGGCAGGGAGAGAGACTTGACACCCTCTCCGCTCTGGAAATACTGTGTTCCCCGAGAGCCCTGTTACCCTCCCAGAGCTGGAAATGCTTTGAGGGTGGCTATGCTTAATGACAGTGGCAATATGCACCTGGGATTTGCCCTTATATGGCTAGAACACGTTCCTTTGCTTACCTGTGTGTTATGTACCATGCCATCCTGCATGTCTGCACATGCCCTGAGAGTTTTGTTCGTTGCATTCCCCTAAAGTGTTCTCTCTCTCCACTTTGACCTCTACAGCAGGGCTAGTGGAACAAGAGGAGGCCCTTAAAACCCCTATTAACCCAGGTCTCAAAGACATTCTCCTTGATCTCACCACTACCCCAGCCTAAAGTCACACTTGTCATAGTCTGAAATTGTTTTTGTGTTCAGTAGCCTTCTCCCTAACTTGAATCTGAGCTCCCTGAAGTTGGGAAAATCATTCCCAGCATCTAGCACAGTACCCAGCACACAGTCAACACTCAGTAACTATTTACTGAGTGATTTAATACCCTCCCTTTGAAGAGCATCAGTTTAAGTGGAGGGTCAGTATGTGCAGGCCCCAGGTTCGAGTTGCTCGGGTCCTGTCCAACTCTGGTGCAGAGTTATCCTCCACCTTACCTGTTACCTCCCAAGCAGTCACTTTTCTTCCTACTACCTTTATCCCACTCCAGTCTCTCTTTGGATTAAGGGAAGCCTCTTTCTAGGATGTGTGGTGCCCAGGCCCCTTTTTATGCCCTCAGTGCTATTTATCAAAGGACTAGAGACCCTCTTTTGGGGTTGGAGACCCTCCCAGGTCCTAGTTGTCAGGAGTCATTCTTCATGTAACCTGACAGCTGCAAGGGTCCTCAGAGGTCCTCAGAGGTCATTGCGGCTACCCGCTCTCCTGGCACAAACCTTTCTAACAGCTGGCTGGCATTTCCTTGGACTTCGTCAGGGACTTCCTGGGAGTCCATTCCATTTTAGGTGTCCACTGAGTCCATTTCTTCTTTGACTGCTTGAAATAGCTTTTTTTTTAATGAGCTGTAATTTTCTTCTCTGTAACTTCCACCAACTCTCCTCTTCAGCCTAATCACGTTTTCAAAATCGATTCTTCAAAGACACCTCTTTTCATCCCAGAGTCTTTGCCTCCCTGGCTCTATACCCCCAGATCATCTTCTAACCCTTGTCATGTGATCAGATTAGAGGGATTTCTCATTAACTCCCAAATCCAGCCACACTTGCTTAAGTTCCAGGCCGTGCCCATATCCCGAGCCCACAAGGGACCTGCTCCAGAGTGTGCTTTGGTCTGGAGCACGAACATTGTGGAAACAGTGCCCAGGATGACTGACGCCTTTAGAGCAAGAACTTACTGCTCTCAGAAGCAGAGACTTAAAAAACATCCCCAAGCAAGATGCTACTCACTTTGTCCTTTGCAAAGTTCTCTGGCGAGACATTTTGTAGCTAGGAATTGGAGCATTCACCATGAGGCTTCTCTCTGCCGTGCCTTAAAATCAATCAATACCCCCAAGCCATTGTGCAATGGTTTACATTTCCTGCTTCTCCTCAGCCCCCAAACTGACAGAGAATTCACTCTAAAAAGAGACCCTCTCCAGCTTTCCAGATCGAACACCTTTGAAATGAAGAGGCACAAGCCTTTTATGAAATGTCCACCCTCCCCTCCTCCAGGCCAAGGCTGGCCCTTTGAACTGTTTCTGGGGCATGGTTCCTGCCTGTTGACTTGGAACAGATGCCCAAATCCCCCACTTTTACAGTTTGCCCACCTGCCTTTTTATCCAGCATCCATTTACACCCCCTGCCCTAGCCTCCCAGCCTCAAGGGCCAAAACCATTAACCCACTTATTTCTCCCTTCCTGATCTGAACAAGTGGCCGTCACTCAGGGCCTGCAGGCCAGCCCAACTTCTGACCTCCCTCCCCCCTTGACCTTTCTTGGTCAGCCTGTGTGTGTGACCAGCCAACCGAGAGGCAGGATCCTACACCCTTGTCCCGGGGGCTGTTGCCAGTAACATTTCCAAAGTCTTTTGACCTCAGTTGACCTAATCCAAGGGTTTCAGGGAAGGCAGGAGGGTCTGCCTTCCTTACTATCCAGCTTTCTTAGCCTTTATGTGCCAGTGGCTTTGCTCCAGCAAATGAGAGGAAAGTGCTCTCTGTGACATCAGGGGGCCAGCCTGTGTTCACGAAGTCTATCCAGAGTCCTTGTCCTTGAAATTGCTTAATCCATAGGGACTTAGGATCCTCAGATCCTAGATGGTTAGAGCTGGAGGGGACAGCTATTCTTGGCCCCACTCTGACTAGCAGTCCCCATGTGAGAGCTGGGTGGAAGTCCAGGCAGCAGTATCAGTATGATAATGTGGGAAGTTCTGTGACCCCTTAGGAGGCAGTATAGAGTATTAAAGAGGACAGCTTCAGAACCCCAGCTCCCCACCCTACTACTGGTTTTGCCTTGGACATGTTACCCTAACTCTCTAAGCCTCAGTTTTCTTCTGAGATGAGATAACATCTGTATAAGCCCCTGTTCCATGCTCCATGGTTGTATAAAGAAATCAAACTCTCACCTGACAGCTAACAATCCTGTTTTCCTTCATGAAACCTGTAATCTTAACTAAAGGCTTCTTAACTCTGTTTCTGCACCCCACCACCACCTAAAACACCATCACATGCCCTCTGTTCTCATGTAGATCCTCTGACTCTTTAAGGCCTCCCTTTCTCCTCTCAAGGGAGGCTTTTGAGCCTCCCTTTCTCAGAAGGGTCTCAGAAGCCTCTTCTGGTGGTCTGGTCCACTCTGAAAGCACCGTCTCTGAACTCTTACAGTGTTGTGCTGGGTGCTTAGTGCATCTTCATGAGGCTCCTGAGTCAGTGAAAAGAACACAAGCTTGGGTTTAAATCTCAGTTCCATAATGTGACTCTGACTAAGCCATTTGCAATCTTTGAGACCATGGACCTCAGGACATCCTAGGTTGGATCAAGCAAACTGTCTCTGACCCTGAGAGTCTCGGAGACTGGTGGAGGAGCCAGATACAGAAACAGGCAGTGACCACTGGATAAGTGCTTCAGCAGGGGGCTGGACAAGGGGCTCAGGGGCATGGAGGAGGACATACCTGCTTTTGCCTGGTGAACAGAGAGGGGAGTCAGTCACAGGAAGCTTCCCATAGGAGAGGATGCCTAGTTTTGTCAGGAAGTGTAATGGGAGTTTGCCAGACAATTTTTATGGAAAGGCTCTGAATTCACTAGTGCCAATTTTCTACCTCTGACCTCCACAGAACAGTGGATGCACAGGCCCCTGTGGTTTTCATCTCTGAAAACCTATGTTGTTGGTTTAGAGTAGGAAGCCTCTTCTTCAGCACTTGCACTGTCAAGTACAAGAAAATATTGGTGGGATGGAGAGAGGAAGAAGCAGGATGGTTGGGAAGATGGGGAGCCTCCTTTTTTAAGCCCATAGAACTGATTTATCCCAATAGTTCCAGGGCTATTAAGGTGGATGGGATCTCACTGCCAGATCCATTTCCTACAACATATCTCTAATCACGACAGCCTTCCTGACCAGGGTTCCCCAAAGAATTGAGTCCTAATGCTCTAAGGTGTCCATCACACACAAGGAATTAGCTTTTCTCCCAGGTGTCTGAGATGGTACTACATTATTCAAATAATTTCCCGTATGTGGTTCAAAGGACAAATCCCAATTAAGAAAGGCTGCAAGGAAAGAGCATGAACTGTGGAGTCAGGATCTGAATGCCAGCCCTGCCACTTCATAGCTGTGGCCCTGGGCAAGCAGGGACCACTCTGAGGTTGTCTTTCTTCACTTGGAAATGGAGTGATACCATCTACCTTCTAAGGTTTTGTCAGGATTAGGACGCGTACAGGTTCTACAGAGTAAGCACTTTATATATGTAATGTTATTAACTTCAAAAACACTCAGTGCTCATTTGTTAAAAAATACATAAATAAAAAGAATTCTGCTCATCCTAACTTTTTAACCTGGTTTTAGAGTTGTCCTGGTCTGACCCTCAACTAACTGTTTCCCCTAGTGCTGCCCTAACTCCTGCCACACTGTGATGTCAACTCAGGGCTCCCACCTCAGTGCCTTTTCTCTCTCACTCCCCTTTAAGACGTTGTTTCTAAGCCTGGTGGAATTCTTTCTGCCATCAGTCCCCAGTTCTAACACCAGCCTCCTTCTGAAGTCTCCCCTGTTTCCTGGAATTTGGATCTAGTCCCCTCTACTAGACTGAGGTAAATCGAGGTCCAGGACTGTCTTTTAGTCTCTGCCTCCTTTGCCACAACACCCTGCACATAGTTTAGTTCATGTTTGGATGCACTGCTAAATCTCTGTAGCCCCTGGAGATTTGGATGTCACATCTTTGCTTCTCAGCCCACTTGCTCTTAGTGTCCTAGTATCCTATTTTTTAAGAGCTTCACCTCTTTGCTGATACCTTCCTTCTCATTATAGTCACAGTGACGCTGCCTTTTCAGCCACCAGTGCTCATCACCTCAGAAACACTTGAGATTTATGAAACCTAATAGCATTTTCCCCAGGGCTTCCCTTATCCTCTTCCCTGCCTACTTTTCATGGATGGCTCTTCCTTGCCCCCCTTGCTTGCACATGGCTCAATTGTCAGTGTTAACCAGCCACCATCAGATGAGTCTTTAAATTCCCCACCATGCCCGCCTGAGGCAAAGAGCCTTTCCAGTGCTGACCTTCTTTAGCAGCTTGTTAATTTGTTGTCTGAGCTTGAAACTTAGGGTTCCATTTCTTGTTCCACTTCACTGTCTGTCCATCTGGCTGTAATGCCAGATGTTGAGGGAATCAGCTTTGCCTCCAGCTGTCCTCTGGAAACTTCATCCTCTGATTCCTGCCAGCAAGCAGTGCAGAGAAGAGGAAAGAGTGCTGGGCACAAAAGCAGAAGTTTTGACCCTGCCACCAACAAATCTTTGTCCTTTAGGCAAATTCTTTCTCTTCA